CCCATCATCCATCATCCAACCACCCACCCATCATCCATCATCCAACCATCCATCCATTATCCATCTATCATCCATCCATTCGTCATCCATCCATCACCAGGTCGTACCTCTGACCAGTATGCTGATGGATTTCTTCGCAGGGTTTCCTACATTGTTTGAAGCCATACAGGTGTAGGTTCCTCCATCATCGTCGGTGATAACAGGAACTGTCAGGGTTCCATCTTTGACGATGCTCCTCTTCGGCAGATCTTCATCTGTCGCTCTAAGCCACCTCAGTGTTGGTGGAGGATGGCCGCTCACCACCTTACATACCAGAGTGATTGTCTCCCCGGGGTTTGCCACCACAGGATCCTCCAGAAGTATTTTAACAGAAGGAGGAGCTGAGAAGGAAGCACAGCCCCATGGTTAATGAACACATTTAAAGTTCATCCAGGGTGAAAGTGACTTTTGATTTCAAGCTTTTAGTTCAGATTTGGTCATAAATGAATGTAAGAGATTCATTAAGAGATGAAACGACTGAAACAGAAAAGGAAAAACAAGCAAACAATCAGAACTCTGACTGCCTCAACTCTTCCCTTTGTCTGTTAAAAAAGAAATAAACATCCAACTTCTGAGAGTTTCAAACATCATATGAATCATCTGATTTCCACCATGATGCCAGAAACCAGTAACATCATTTCTACAGCCAGTAAGACGAAGCCCAGTGGCAAACAGTGTCTACCTGTTCAGGTAGCAGCACGGTGGAAAACCACATGTTCCCTCATCTGGAGTTAAAAACATAAAAATGTATAAAAACCAACTTAAGATTCAGCTCAGTAAAAAAAACGGCTTTTATTGCGAAGTTTCAGTCTGGATTAACGGCAGCTCCTTTAACTTTAGCAAATTTCTCTAATAAATAAAAAATTTTATTATTTTATTTATCTCTAGTTTAATGAGTGCTTAGATGACCTACAGAAGATGAGCGCAGGCTAAAGAGGTTGAAAAGTTCAAATGACTGATTAGATAAACAAATATTACCTTCATAGCACTTTAGAAACAATTCATGGTTGATTAAAGTTCTGCTCAACAGGTCAAGGATAAAACCCAGAAGCCTAACAAACGCAGTAAGACTCACGGTACTGAAAACAGATCTCATCCCAGGGCGTCCATTGAGCGGCCTGTTCAGCCCCGTTCTGAGCGGGCTGCTGATGCAGCAGCTCCACCACATGGAGCCTCATTAATCAAAGGCTGCACCTTCAGCCGCTTCTTAGAGGAGCTGTAGGAACAGCTTGGTTTTTTCACAGGGAGACGGGTCTTTTATTCAGCCTCAGTTGTCGAGATTTCCTCTGAAATCAAATAATTCTGAATATTCAAGACGGCCGACAACCGGAGCATGCAGTCAGACTGAACACTGAGATCATTTTTAAAACAATAGTTTTATTTGGAGCTGCGAGGAAAACTGAACCTAAAATGCTTATAAATGAAAATTAGGAGGAGATTAACCAAGATGCACCTCAGATTGTTGGGAATAAAACACAGAGATTCCTTTAGAGTCAGGGTTATTGGCAGAGATGGGAAGTAACGAAGTACAAATACTT